CGAAGGGTCCTTGTCGCCCATAAGTCTAGGTAAATGCTTCGACACAAGGTGTGATCAGATGATCTATGAAATCAACAGCTCGTATGTTGCCGATCATCGAGGGACCATAACGAGGAGACCTAGGAGGAACTTGCCTATGCAATGTCTGTCCTTCACTACTCTCTCACTCATCCAACCGTAGTTATATATTTGCTTTTCTACATGTTTTCTTCTATTCTTATTTCGTTTTGCAAAACCAAAGGCACCTCAACTTCCTACATAGTTTTTAAAATCAATTGAAGTATAGAACCGTATCCGTTACCTAAGTAAGCGTTCTTCAAGCCTAGGGAAATATGACCATGACCTTCAGATAAGGTAAATTTGGTACGTGTTACAACTTACAAATGACAGCAAGGGAGACTCGGGACTTTAGGCCAATTAGCTTGCTCGGAAGTTGGATAAGCTTATTTCCAAGTTGAAGACTTGGCGGTTAAAGTCATTGGCGGGGATGGTTATCTCTCGAAATAAGTTTGTTGGGCTTAGTGGTCGCCAAATCACTACGACAAACAAGACCTTCTGCAAAGAAAATATTTGTCGCAAATAGTCAAAAATTCGCCGTCTGCGACGATTATTTTCGTCACTGTAGACAATTTTGCCTCATCGCGTATACCGCATCGCCCTAGATGTTTTGCGACGAATATAATGCAAGTGTCGCTAAAGGTGTCGTTCGTCGCTGAAGCGTTACTTTTTAGCGACGAGTCACTTCGTCGCAGATACATTATTCGCGGCGATGGTAGGTCGTCGCAAAAAAACTCTGCCATCACACACAAAATACTTTGAGCGACGATAGAGTTTCATCACCGATAGATTTAGCGACGAGCAAATCTGTCGCCAAAACCATAAAATTTTAGTTAATTTTTTGTATTTACATTTTGGTCCTTTCTATTTATCTACTATAAAGTTTTGCATCTATTAATTAATTAACAATTGGTGGAGATAGTAACACAATAGAACCATTCCACATTACAATAGAACCATTCCACATTACTATTAATTAATTAACAATTGGTGGAGATAGTAACACAAATAGTTAGCTTTATAGTAATTCTATACAAGGACTACTATATTCAACTTATTTACCAACTATTATACATGAAATGTTTAGTTAAATAGCAACATATAGTATATAGACTAATAATATATATATAATCACCAATTGCTCATGCTGAAAATGTTATTGAATCATCACTATCATCCCTAATTTATTCAACCTTCACCTCATAATCTGCATAAAAAATAAATAAAAGAGGATGAAAAAACTCAATTTAAGTTGAAGTGAGATATTGAGGACGCTTCGACAATGTCAATTCAGAGTGCATACTCAAAATTCTAAGGAACTGTGTTTACCCATCATCCGCCAAACTTTTTAACTTCGATAATTGGATCTCCAATATATAGTGAAAATGAAATCTTCAAAATCACAAAAAGAACTCCCCACCCAGTTTGATCAAAGAACTGAAAAAATCACTATTTATCCTTCACGCATTTATGAATTAATATCTTCTCAAATTATTATTATTGGTGATAATTGCAAAATCTTTTGTTTTCATGGCTAGAAATCTATATTATATCATCATTATCTTTTACTATTCTTGTTTATATACTAATTTTGCTTATTCTATTGTTTGTTTTCAGGAGTGTTCCGTGACTTGGTAAATTAGCTTTATTTATTATGAAGATTCATCTTCATTTTCATTGGTTATGACTAGGTTTAGACCATGTTTATTAGTTAAATATTTTGTGATTTGTAAAAAAACTACTAGAATAGATATTCTAAATTAAATGATACACCTGACTTATGAATTAAATGCTATTTAGCTTGTAGATTTCTTTCATTTTAAATTTAAAACTATAAAAATTATGTGATCATTTGGAATATATGATGTAAACCCACCAAAACACTCATCAGCAATCACTCAACCCACCCACATGTAATACTTTGATGGGTATGAGTCATTTTCCCCTTCACTCGCCAACCTATAAGGCCCTAATCCACATAAAATCACTCGTTGCTCACCCCTAGTTTTCAGTGACCTCCAGCAGTTGACTCAAGCATGCACCAGCAAGTTGAGTTTTCCTATGTTACTAATAATAATGGCAAGTCTTTAGGGCGATCTTCTAAGAAGAAACCACATATCCCGTTAGTTTCTCCTAAAAGAAAGGGGTTGAGTGGGTATATATAAAAGATGAAGATTCTCTTATGGAACACAAGAGGTTTAAATCCCTTAAAGAAAAGCTCTACGGGATTTAGTAAATAAAACAGTATAGATATAGTAGTTGCTTTGGAGCTAAGAGTAAGAGGGGTAAAAGCAGAAAAATAATCAATAAATGTTTAGTGAATTTTGAAGGTTGTAAATAATGATAATGACTTCGGCAATTTTTGATTGATTTGGAAGCTAGACATTCAATTATGTGTTCTTCATCATTATGATAAGTTTATGCAGACTCTAGTTAGACTGGTAATCCCTTTTCGTCACTTTTGTTTATGCTTCAAACTTTGAAGAGGCAACTTGCATACATTTGTCTGCTGATTTTCAAAGACTTCAAGTATGTTAACCTTAATACCAAACATCAAAGCTTCTATTCAGTGTTGTGTCACTGATGTCTACATCGCAAAAGATGTAAATTCTACTAGAAAAAATTTCATACCACTCGCTATCACCCCAGTACCACCTAGTATCACTTGGTACCACCTTCGTTTTAACTCGAATTTTGATAAATTTCAGATGGAACGAGTTCAGCGTGATCTATTGGATCTACAAATTTCTAAGGGGAAAAACTTGAGAACCAAATATATCGCACTATAAAGGTGGTAATGTTTCCAAAATATGTCAAAGTTGATGTCATTTTGAAGAGCATAATTAATTTGATTTATTTGTACAAAAAAAATTAAGTTATGACTTTAAAATGAAAGATATATAGTTCATTAGAAATAATTGATTGGAAAATTATTTACATTTCATAAATGATAAGTCTAGTATTATGCACGGTTAAGCATAACAAGGTTATGCATGCTATCACTACCTTTTTCTCCCATTACTTCCATTGTCCACAAATCTCATCACTCATGCATTAACAAGTCCTACCACCAGAGCCAGATCACATAGTCTAGTGGTCAAATCCTTAGTGGGTGCTCGTTTTGAGAAGTAGTAGATTCCGTGTTCTACCTCCACCGAGGCCTGTTATGGTGTTCTTTGAGGTATTTAATAAAGATCCTCTTGAAAGGCTCAAAGGGCTCAAACATATGAACCCCATATGTGGTCTCCCTCCGCCATCATTCAAGCGGTATGTGCATGGGATGTTCGTGTGTTATAAAAAAACAAACTCCTAACACCAGAAGAAATAGCATATTTGGCGAACTTAAAGTTTATACGTGTAGTTCCCTCCAATTAATTAGAATAAAGAAAATAAAGCAAAAAGATAGAACAAACGAAACCTATAAACCTATTCAAAGCAGGTTTTGTAACTTAGTTATGAAGGTTGCTGCCGACCGAAGCAACAACCTTTATTATCCTTTTACGGCAAAAAAACTTGCCCATGGCTTTCCTTTGCTGCTATTTATAAAACTACATGAAGTAGACATACTTTCACAATTCTACTGACAGATGGCTTTTGGGTTTATCATAAAACGGATCTTTGGCATTGTCAGTTAAAAAATTAGCAGTGGAATGATAAAGAAATCAAAGGTGATGATAAAGGTTAAAAAAGCTTCCACAGCGGTCTTTATTCCATTGCTTTTGTCTCCCTCGGCCGAAGAAAACAAAATATTGAATTGTGATAATACAGGCACAATCACAACAACAAAATATTGCAAAACAAAAATATGTTTAGGTGACAATTATTAGAAATAGTAAAAGAAAACAATTAGAAGTGTATAGTTACTTCTTTAGATCCCAGCGAGTATCAATGTCGAGATTAATACAGAAATAGAAAAATAATTAAAAGAATAGCGTGGCATGATGAGTTATGAGAAAAGAGAAAAATAATTAAAAGAATCGTTTCTCATTTACTTGGTCGACCGAATCATCTGCCTTAGCCATTCACTTAATTAAACTCTATACGGAGAAGGGGATAAATGCTTTGGAAAATGTATTGATTAATGAGAGCATTTTTTAAACCAACTGTACTAAAAAAATGTTCTCTAGGGATTTTCTCTCGGTTCTCTGAAGAAGCCTCTGGTGGTGTGCCCGGATCGTTCTGTGGCAGGCAGGCAGGGTCATCGGGGCATATTTGGTGGAGTTCTTCCCTGAATACCAACCGCCACCCTGGTTGCGAGGGCGAAATGGTGCTTCTCGGGCTTATTTTCGAGCTCCGTTGTTCGTCGTCGACGCAGCAAGCAATAATCTCCTATCTCGAACAGAGGGGGCGGGGGACCAGGATCCCGTAAAGCATAGAAAGCGAAAGCGAGTCGGGGATGCCTGGACAGTGATAGAAACCTAATTTTTGGGTTCTATCATAATTTTTATTATTACTATAAATTAGGATATGGTTAGATATGGTTAGAAGTCATTGAGTCCTATTAGGATAGTCTATTAGGTATTTCTAGTCTTTAGTTATAAATATGTACTTTAGGTCTTTTGTGGAGGTAGGCAGAAATCAGTAAAAGAATTATCTTCTCAAACCCTAAGTTCTCCCTATCTCCTAATTTCTATTCTTCCCTAGTCCAAGGATTCGGCCGATTCTTATTATGTTCTTCCTTCCCTAATCCCAATCTCAATCCCTAATTCTGTTCGTATCAACCCTAATTCCCAAATATCAAATCCGATAGAACCTTTCTTCTATCAATTGGTATCAGAGAAAAAATGAGCTCCTCGTGGCTCTCTGATCCAGTTTGGAACCGTATACTGCAACGGCTCGATGCCATCTGCGCCGACCAGGCTGCGACGGCTCGCGCACGAGGCATGTAGGTGGAGGCGGCGCGTGGACCGACAGGGCTACTAGCGGAGCGGCCCGAGCAGGCGATGGTGGAGGAGCCGCCGCGCGAAGCGCCAAAGGCCGTGGTGACTGGCGACGTGACGACAGCGACGACGCAGGAGGGTGGAGGGCGATGCATGGTGCGGCAGGCCGAGGCGCTGGCCCGGAGGCGAGAGGCACCGCTGAACGCGACGGCTGAAGGCGAGATGGTGCAGGCGACGAAGGAGGCGCAGAAGCAGGGTTGGATGACTGTGGACGGTGTTGCGGCTCTTGCTACAGTCAAAACCACAAACGCCAAGGAGCCACAAAGATCCTCGCGGCGGGCCGACGTGGAGGCGGAGGACGCGGCGGATTATGGCAGCACGACGACGGTGGAGAACGCCGGGGGCGATGCTGCTGCTGAACCGCTGCTACTACCAGGGCCGGCCGACGAGGCCAAGGAGATCGCCGATGGTAAAGTCACAGGAAAAAAAGGAGAGCCTATGACTCTTACCGCTGCCATTCCAAACATCATCACCACCACCGAGCAAACCGCCATCGGAGGCGAAGCTATCTCCGCCATGGCAATCATAACGCAAGCACCGCCGGTGGCAGCGGAAAACACCATCGATAAGGAGGCGATGTCGAGGACGGCGCTGGGAACACACTGGGATGGCCGCCGGAAGAGTTGTTTGTCGCCCATGAAGTTGAAGAAGGAAGGCGGCGGCGGTGTCCCTCGCCCACGGGAGCAGCTTTACCTCTCCGTCCCTAACACACATCTGCAACAGTCCATAGTGGGCCAAAGAGTTGCAAGAGCCTGTCATAGTGGGCTAAATGGAGTGGGCCAACTGATAAGGAAAGGGCAGATTGAGCGCAACATGTGTTGTGTTTGGAAGGTGGAAGGAGGTGGGCTTAGAGCTTAAAGGTTTAGGTGGTGGATTTCCAAAGGAGTTTAGCCCAAATTTGCATGGAGGAGAGTTCTCCAACTCTTATTTTGTGGACTTCGATAAAGAGGAGAAGGGCTTATTCAATTATGGAGAACGTTACCTATGTCCCAAGGTTCGAGAAGAGTTGAAGAAAGTAGGAGTAGTCGTAGAAGAAGTCATTCGTGATTTGGAGTTCGATTGGAAGCGGAAAAAAATAAGCGGGAGGTCAAGAAGACGAAAGTTGACCTCAAACTTGAGGGCAAGTTTGGTGCCAAGGGGGAGGGGATGATAGAAACCTAATTTCTGGGTTCTATCATAATTATTATTTTATAATTAGGATATGGTTAGATATGGTTAGAAGTCATTGAGTCCTATTAGGATAGTCTATTAGGTTTTTCTAGTCGTTAGTAATAAATATGTACTTTAGGTCTTTTGTGGAGGTAGGCAGAAATCAGTAAAATAATTATCTTCTCAAACCCTAAGTTCTCCCTATCTCCTAATTTCTATTCTTCCCTAGTCCAAGGCTTCGGCCGATTCTTATTCTGTTCTTCCTTCCCTAATCCCAATCTCAATCCCTAATTCTGTTCGTATCAACCCTAATTCCCAAATATCAAATCCGATAGAACCTTTCTTCTATCAGACAGTGAAGTCGTGCTCCGTTGTGGCAGGGTATGGCCAATTGTGGAAACAGAAAAATAGAGAGTTGTCGAGTATCAAACATGAAAGTTGTATAAAGATGGGTTAGCGCTTTCCCATCCCTCGTGGGAGGAGATTGATGAGGGAGACGCTGATCAGGTGAGTGATATAGCTACGATCCATCTTAGAAATAGATTTGGATCGGGGAAAAGATTCATAACGCCGATTGCTCCACTGCCTGTGAACTGGGAAACAGAGGCTGGACATTATTCAGTCAGGCGGTGTGATTTGGGCGGCTAGGAAACGACTTTGACTGAGTCGGAGATTTTTTTGAAGGCGGTTCATCCGCCATACAAACCGAGCCACAACGGTGAGATTAAACGGTGGGGGTGGTCGATTGCCGATGGTTTCGGTGGACAGAGCCGGTGAAAGAGTCCTAAAGGAGGACGGACACGAGTTGTCGTCTCTCTCTCTCCAAACTGGATTTCCTGGGGGTAATACCCTTGTTTTTCCGTCAGTAACAGGGGAATCCGATTTCCATCAGATATCCAAGATTCTCAAGTTTCCTTTCCGATTCATACACGTCTTTGGTAATGGACCTATCCAATTGAAGTGGAAATTTGTGATCTATAAGACTTGGTGCCCTCTGCAAAGTATTCTCCACTCCAAAATTCAAAGAGAAACCGGCAGGCCAGCGAGAACTCAGATCACGTCTCCACGGCTAATCTCGGGTAAGGTTTGCCTCGTGGCGAGCTCCTCTCCATCCCAATTAGTTAAGGTTTGTCTTCGACCATTGCTTATCAAATTGGCCGTCGCCCCTGGTTGTCTTGTTGTTCAGGCACAGACCTCCATATTTGAGGTGACTAGCCCATTTTCCTCTTCGCGCAGTAGTGTCGAAACCCGTAGCATCCAGAGGTCAGGTATAATTGTCTACACTACTTGCGTCTGGGACATGGCAATAATGTGAAAGGGAGGGCGGATGGAAGCTCATATGATCCAACAAAGGGGTTAATTTTGGTGTTAATGCATATTAATAACCTATTAGTTTCCTTGAGTTTATGCTCACCGAGCTTCCTTGATTTACCCATTATGGTCTATATATTTTGTCCTATCTTGCACGTTTGGGATTGTACTAGTAATTTCCTATTATTTTCATGTAATATTGGTGGTTTGATGACTGACCCAATTTATTGTTTGGTTCCTAGAGTACCCAAGAAGGAAACTACAAGAATCAGATTGTGCAATTCAAGCTCGATGAGGTTCAATCCTCCCGCTTCTGTTCTTCCCACACACTCCTTGGTAGGATGTTTGCGGATAAGAGACCATCGATGAAGTTAATTAAGGAATCAGTTAATGTATCATGGCAAGGGCAGGGGTTGATACGTGTCTTTGAAGGTAGACAAGGATTCCTAGAGTTTGTCCTTTGATAGCGTCGTATTTGCACATGTTTGCACCCTTATTTCCTAACCGTTTTGGCTCAAATTTGTGGTGTCTTAGCCTATTTTATGCTAGGTTGTGTTATTTTGTCATATTTCAGGTCCTAGCGAATAAAGGGATGCATAGGCGCAAGTTTCGGGTCTTTTGCAGATCGTTAGGTCATTCGGGAGAAAAAACTCGAGCATTACCTGAGGAAGAATGAATTTATACCTCATATTATAGACAAATAATCATGGAATCTTGTCATGAAAAGAAAGAGGACGAGACTACGAGCGTCTGGGATCAAACGACGACTGATTCGGAGTCCCGTTGAGGTGGAAACAAAGCATTAAACAGGAGCGGAAGAAGAAATACGGGCACAAGAAAATACGACCGTATTTTCCCCTCCCATGCCCGTATTTTTAGTATCGAGAGGAGCCTTGGATGCGCTGAGACTTAACCAAAACGCCCTTTTTGGGCAAAATACGGGCAGAGAAGAATTACGACCGTATTTTGCCCAGAATTGAGTTTTTGAGGCAGATTCGAGCCAAAGGAAAGAGAGTCGACTTTTTGGAGTAAAAACATAGTTTTAGAGAGAGAAAGTGCGAAGAACAAACCCTAGGAGCTATTTGGAGTGGATTTCTCACCATTGAAGCCCAAATTGCATCCCTAGGAGTGAAGATTGACATCCCAGAGCAAATTCTTCCTATTGTTATGAGTATGACTGCTTTGTATTCTGTTTTCCTCTCTCTATCTATGGAGTAGAACTTTCTCTCACTTGGGTATGAAGAACCCTAGTTCCATGTGTTAGGGATCTTGATTGTAATGACGCATGGATGCTATACTGCTTGATTATAATCGATTGAGGCATGTTTTATTGAGTTAATTAAAGCCTGATCAACTTTCCTTGATTTCTGCTGCAACCTGAGATAGATAGAATCTGATTAGGTTGTTAGAGTTTCCTCAATCGGTAGTAGTGAATTGGTTATACGAGAGTTAATCGATTCACTGCTTTGTATTGGAATCCAATTCCAGCTGTGGAGTTCTGTGTTTATTGCCTCAGCATTCTATCCTGGTGAAGGCTAGTCGTCTGCCGGTTAGTCTGACTGAGAGGGCTTGGTCAGTTTAAGAGATTCCAAGCTACTTTTGGATCTTCCGCAGTTTAATAAACAGTAAATCAACCAAAGGTAATTACAACTTTGACCGAACTAAGGAGCTAGGGGACTCATTCCCGAGTGACTCTTCCCTTGCTAAAGAACTCTGAACAATTTCCTGCTTTCTTACTGCTTTTCGTTTCAATCACTCTACTAAACTTAGTCCCGCTAGATAATAGGTACTCACGGAGTAGGCAGTAGATCTAGTCCCCGGGTTGATAAATAGAACTTGCCACTATTCAGCATTTCCATTCTGCGATTACACTTGGTCACAGTTTGTGTTATGTCTTAGCGTGTCAAGTTTTTGGCGCCGTTGCCGGTGAACTTCTAGGTTATTGTAGAAACGTGAAAGTATGTTACTTTAGCATTTACTTTTATGCATCCTCTCTTTTCCACCCTTGCCTTTCACTTGGGTATTTTGTTTTTGTTGGTGCAAATCTGATACATGGATCATCATGGCTTCTCCAATCATTGGGGGTATCCACCACCACTGGAGTGGTATTACCCCGAGACATCCTGGAGTAACCAAGGAGGAGAAGAATATGGAGTCGGGTTTCAGTACCAACCCCCCTACTACGAAGAACAATCTCCTTATCAAGAAGAATTAGTCCCACAACCAGAATGGCCATTAGATCTTGATTTAGCCACAGCCCTCACGAGCCATCTGGCAGAGCCATGCTACACTCCATAGCAAGATCCAAACTATCACTTGAGGCTTCTCATGGAGTAGATTGCTCATATCCAGGCTACACTCCTTTCCCGAGATGGACCTCATATCCAGGCCATTTCCCAAATTGACTTCTCCTTTCCCTGTGAAACAGAGGATGCCCTTTGGAGCATAAAGAAGCACATAGAGGTCATGGAGAAAGCTTGTTCACAGTTTTCTCAAGACAACCTTTATGTTGCCATACAAGTAGCGGAGGAGGAAGAAGAAGGCAATCATGAGGATGTTGAGGAGCATGCAGAAGTTGTCAAGGAAAGCTCCCATGATAATCATGATCAATTGTATCCTCTGGTGGTAGATCGCAATTTTCCCCATTTTCGCTCTGACATGCTGGGCCCGATCAAGGAGATGCAAGCTAAAGTTATTGAGAACCTTGCATGGCGACTTGCTCTCCAATCCGTTATGGAAGAAGAAGAGAAAGAAAGGGTGAGGAAAGAAGTTGTGGAGGATGAGGAAGAAAGCAAAGAAGAGGTAGTTCTTGATCTTTTCCAAGGAGATAGACCACATTTTGAAGAAGGAAGGGCGGTTGAAGAAGCGAGTGGTGCCCATGCTGAGGATGAAGTTGAGGTGGAAGAGACTTGCACCGGCCATGAGTTACATGTGATATCTCTACCAAACTTCGAGGAGCTTCTAGGCAAGGACCCATTTGCAGTGTCTCTTTGCCAGACCAAGGCCACATCAACATCGGTCCCTCTTGGTGGATGCAATGGTGGTCAGTTGATGCTGTCATATATGGTTTGGGGCAATGAGACGAGTGTGGAAGAAAAGAAGAGGTCTCGCGGGTGGAGACTTCATATTAATCAAGTACACGAGCCTACATCACTTATCATACCACCTTCTTGTGACTTGGGACTCCACGTCATCGATGAGAACCTCAACTACTGCGTTGTCTCGCCCTTCATGGGGATGGCACAATATTCTCCATGGGCGCCTACTCCTCCAACGATGACTTCGGTGGCAGATTGTTGATAGGCTCCAGGCCTCTATACAACACTCCATCCGGGTCCCATATACCCATCCTCACTCTCCTCTGGATAATCCTCATGTCATATCGGAGGGCAATGACC